TTACCTGTGCAAGCATTCCTCATGTTAACAACTTCTTTATTCCAATATTTTTATTAAATACTAATTAGAATTTTTAAGGTGTAACTAAATGACTTTTTTTTCTCTTTAGATTCATGTTGGATACTACATGATTTGTATTCTTTCATCAATAAACATAATGCCATTTATATTTGTACATATTATAATAACAGGGAGAAACTTTGATCATTCCGTTACCAAATTCTAAACTTAAGACATGCTCATTTAATAACCACAGCATATTTCAAGTGAATAATGTTTTTATTAGTAGATTACAGTGTACTAGGCTTTCAAATTAAGACAGTTTTCTCCTATAAAATTCAGTTTTCATAATTGGACAAAATCTAGTTCCATTTTGATGTCATTCCATTACCAATCTCATTAGTAGGCATAAATTATGCAAAATCTGGAAGTGTAAATGTTATAATGACATTTGCTTAAATTAGAAAAAAAAAAAAGATGTTTGTAATACAACTCATTATAAGTTTAAAATCTGTCTAAAAAGCCATTTCTTTACTGTAGTTACAGAAATGTAACAACAATGGTGTGTGGATTTAACGACATGCCAATGAACGTGTAGGCCTAGTACTTGAAGACAAGGAGGTCCCTGGCACCACCACTGCTCTTGCCTGTTACTACAAACATTACGTCTTAGTTTTTAAATCTAACATGAATTGTGTTTTCTATTATCTTCTATTGAATTCATGATGAGTGAAGTGATAAACAGTTGCTGGATGTTTAACCACGCAGGGGAGGATTTGGGGGCTGGCCCCCACACCCCCCCCCCTTTTTGGAAAGCAAAAAAAAAAAATACCAAAGCACCTGAGAGGTTATTTTACCGCATCTGGAACACTAAATTTTGCAGGGGAATTCCCCCGGACACCTTGGGTTGTGTTATCTCGATCGGCCCCACTCTCGGACATCTCTGTATCCACTCTGTATCATTAAATATAGTTCATACAAATAAAAATATACTGCTGTATTACCTTCTATTCACCAATAGCCTATTACACTTCACAAATTCTATTTATTTCTAATTGTGAAAATATACAGAATATAAAATTTTACATTTTATCCTGCTAGTACCACTTGTAAGTATTCATCCATGTAAATAGAAATTTATCATTTTTTATTAAGCAAATTGGATCTGAATGATACTGTAAAAACCCTCATTTGGGACAACACTATAATGGGAACACTTTTTAAGCACTGTACGTACATTTCCATTGTTTACATATTAGTAGCAAGGATAGAATGTATGAGAATCCCCTACCGGAAATCCCCACGATGGCATCTGCTGATGGAAAACATTCACTGTACATGCTAAAATGCATGTTGAAATTGTGTAGCCTAGGAATTCTTCATAGCACACATATGATCTCAGAAATATGGCTTGAAATTTTAAATTAAATTAAAACAAAGTTTTATCTGATATCTAAAAGGTTTGTTAGGAGTCGCATATCTTTTTGGGGACAGTAGGTTTCCTACTTTTGCAACTTCAGAGCTGTAATGCCAAATGTATACATATAATAAAAATTTTAAAAATATGAAAGCACCTTTGAGATGATTTTAATGTGGAAGGCACTCTACAAATATGCTACCATTGGCAATACCATCATATTCTGATGAGCATTACACTTGCAGGGCTGGAAAAAGTACACGACCGTGCGACTGGTGGTCGGAGACAACATGAGTGTCCCTGGAAACATTCTGAAGGGGGATTTTATCGAGACAACTTACATGGTCGGAGGAACAAGCATGTTTTTTCCAGGCCTGGACAGTTGGATAGGTATATATTAATAATAATAGGCCTTCTTCCAGTACAAAACATGCATGATCAACTCTACGAAAGCAATAGTTGATGAGCTTAAAAATCAGGATTTTTAAGCTCAAAAACAGATTTTAAACAGATTATGGTTATAAAAGCCAAAATGGCTGAGAATGTATTGCAAACATCTAGAACTTAGGCCTAGGCCCAGGAATTTTCTTAGGACTTACCTCCCAGACATCTACACTAGGCCTAACTGCTAATTGCTCAAAACCTGGCATCTCTGTATTCCGGGAACATGCATGGATATAACGTTAATTAAAAACTGATATATAACATAATTCGTATATATATCGGGATCTTCAATTTTAGTCTTTGAAGAAACTATAGTACTCCATATCATTGTAGAAATCATCGTTCTTCCTATATTTTATCACCATTTGTATAGTAGTACCCTACTTTTTGAGAATGGATGTTGAAGGCGTTCTAACTCTCCTCGTACTCGAGGAGGTGCGTGCATCCTTCCGACTAGCGATCAGCTGGACAGAATGCTAAACCTGGCCTTAAATAAATGAAGAAATGACAAGTCAAAAGAAGTAATTCATTTAAATCTCTTACCTGGGGTAAATGAATTGTGAAGAAGCAAACTTTCAAGTGTTGTTTGAATTCAGCTGATAACTGGACGTCCAAAACAAACTAAACACTAGCACCGTCCCACTCCCCATTGAACTGGATAGACCGCCAATGTTTGATCTAAGAGGGCGCTATATTGAAAACAATGACGAAAATATTTGCTACAGTATTCGGTCCCAAGTGAGGTGTGAGAATCTTCTATTCAGACCTGGCATATTTATGCTATCTGACATAATTTAGACCCCTTTAGCATCTAGCATATGTGATAGGTATAAAATTGGTCATAATTCATTGAAACCCAACAAAATTGGATAATCCAAAAATCTTTGCTCTTGTGAAACTGTTATTAGGCCTACCCAATCACACTGACCAGATTACCTTCCTACATAGTTCTATCAAAATATGCAGCCCCACCCACCTAACACATGAATTAAACATATATATTTTTCGTAATATATTCTATCACAAAATGCAGCCTCACCCACTTACTGCATTTTTAAAAATAAAATTATTCAGCCCCACCCACCTAACACATTATAAATTTTGGGCACTTAATTTTTTTTCCCCTTTTTTTTTTTATAAACTTTCCAAATGGGGGTCAGCCCAGCCACCTAAACTCTCCCCTGCACATGTAAAATAAACGCTGAAACATATTTGTTATAAATTGAAACACCTTGAAAATACAACCAATATACACATACATTCTACTTCCTTTGTTTATTAGGCAAAGAAAAAAAATGTTGCATTGTCCAACTGACAGTAAAATCGGGGGG